CCATTGACTACGTTACACTTCACTATACAAGCTATACCACAAATATCTTTACTACACTACACTACACTACATTACAACACACCACACTAGACTACCCTACACTACTCTTCTTTACACAGTATTACTATACACTACTTTAGAATAAACTACATCACTGCACTACAACCCACATCGCTACTTTACACTGCATCATACAATACTACAGTAAACTACACTACACTACACTATTCTACACTGCACTACACTATAATACACTACACTACACTATACTACAATACACAAAACAACATTACAAAACACTGCGTTCTACTACGCTGTAATACAACATAAAACATAACCAGAAAAACTACTACATTACACTAATTTACACTACACTGCACTATAAAACACTACCTTTCTATGTGTCAGGCTACACTATACTGGCACTCAACTACACTAAACGAAACCGTACGACCTTCCGTTTTTCCACATTACACAACACTACACTACCCTAGAATACAGTACACTGTTATATACTACACTACTCTAAACAAAAGAACACTGCTTCAAACTAAACTTCACTGCAATGTACTAGAAAATATACACTACACTACACATCACTTCACTTATCTAGACTACACTACAAAAGCATACACTACATTACGCGGAAGTAAATTACACTGCATCCCACTACGCTGCAGTAGACTACACTACACGCCACTACATTACACAAATTTACACTACTCTAAACTACAATAAGCTACACTAAAAGAAACCAAATTAAACTACACTTAACTACACTACACTACATTACTGTACAATACACTACACTACACAGTTTTTCTTCACATTACACATCACAAGAATAAACTACAAAGAATACATTACAATACACTACACTACACTACACTACACTACACTACACTACACTACACTACACTACAATACGCTACACTACAGTACACTACACTACACTACACTAAACTACACTACACTACAGTACACTACACTTAACTACACTCCACTATAAAACACTGTACCATACGGTGCTCAGTAGACTACACTACACGTCAGTACGCTACACTGCACAAAGATACACTTCCTTGCACTGTACTACACTGCCTTAGGATAGAGAACCAGGCACTACTGTACATTAAACTGAACCACTTTAAACTAGACTACACTACATTACACTGTATTACACTTCACTGCATCACACTGAGCTGCAATCCGCTACATCACACTATCTACATTACACTAAATTATCTCACACTATACTGCACTAAACTGCACTGTACCACACTACACTGCACAAGACTACACTACACATCACTGCACTACACTGCGCTACACTTAACTAAACAAACTACACTACACTACGCTGCATTTTACTACACTACACTACGCTACACTACACTACAATGCATTACACTACAATAGACAATAGACTACAATGCACTGCACACTACTGTATTACACTACCCCACTACCCAAGCAGCAAAACACTGCACTACTTTACACTACAAAATTTTACCTTACACTAAACTACAATACACTACACTACACTACAATTCGCTGCAATGACTTTCACTGTACCAACCTACGCTAAGCTACACAGCATTGTTCTATCTTTAACTACACTACATTACACTACAATGCACTCCGAGGCCTTACATTAATTTCTCCAAAGCTAGGTTACACTACACTACACTTCACTACACTGCGCTATACTCCACAATACTATTCCGCGCGATACTCCGCTACACCTCAATGTTCTAAACTACACTATACTACACCATAAAACACTACACTAAACTACACTACACCACACTACACTACACTACACAACACTACACTACACTACACTACACTATACTGCGCTACACTAATTTAAACTACAAGACACTACATTAAACTACACTACACTACATATACTAGAGTACACTACACTACACTGCACTACTAAACTGCACTTCATTACACTACACAACGCTCTACAACGCGGCACTAAATTTCTGTAAATACTGCATTAGACTTCAATACAAGTCTCTACACTACACTACAGATGCTAATTTACACTGCGTTGAACAACACTACGCTTCACTAAAAAAAATCCAAAGTACGCCACACTAAAAAACACTACACTTCACAAACTTTCATTACACTTTACATCTCAACAAAACACTCTAAAACACAACACTACACTACAAAACACTGCACTACACTACGCGGCACTACAACGTAATACAAGAAAAAGTGCCAGTCGGTCATATTTGGAAGTTTGGTCTTGAGCAATGCGGAGTAACATAATTTTGGTGTCAAATGGATTTTTTCAAAAATTCGAATTGAGCCTGTCAAGCTCAACTTTCTCGCGAAAACTGAAAATCTCAGGAATACAAGATCAGAACGACCAAATGACAATCGCGGGAAAGTGGTCAATATAAGCAGCGGGAAATGCTATTCGCAAATTCGGACATCTAAACAACACGAGTAGAGCTGTCCTATCTTGATATAGGACACAAAGAAAACTGAAATTCAGTTGGACCAGAGTGAACGTTCACTGGAAAGGTGGACAACCGAAGTGTCCCAATGGTCCAGTACCAGAACTCCATTCTCAAGATAAAACCTGTTCGATTAGAACTTATTAAATCAAACTTAATTCCCCGTGTTGCTTGCAACATGCAACTTAGTGGAAAAAAAATGGAATGGAAATTAAAAACCGCCAAAAAACTGATTTAAACTAACAAAGATGTTTGCGTCAAATGTTTGATTTAATCTACGCGTGATTAAGCCCCTTTTTATGTATTGTAGTTTATATCGAACATTCCAAACTTTCAAAACAGCTTGTAAAATTGATCCACATTAAGAAGCAGCAGTTGGGTGAGCCTTGTGACTCTGGTTTAGACAGCTAGAGACCGGATCAAGGCTCATTGCACAAACTCAACGAGTAAATATTGCGAATATTGCAATTCAACGTTTTAGAGTTCTTGTATTGTAAAGCTAGCATTGAATACTCGCTGCAGGCACATGCCAAAAACCCATTGAAGTTATAATGACATTTGCAAGACTTTTCTTCTTAAATAAAAGATGTTCAACTTCATTGTCTTGGTATACACAATGAAGCAGGTATAAGCTGTTCCCCTCCCTCTGATATACAGTCATATCTTCGTTGAATCAAAGTTAAAGTAAAAGCTCAGCTACGTCAAGCTGAGTTGGTCCGCTATTGAAAAGTGTTAGGCTTCGGCGAGAAACCATTGGTCCGCGTGGACCCAGACACGACGAAACCAAGAACCATTAACCACTAACCACGAACCACGAACTATGAGTGATACCAACGACCAGTACGATCTACGAGGCTTCACGAACGAGCAAGGCAATGTACGATCAGCTGCGAAAGAGCAACCAGGTCAGAGCAATGTAAAGGAGGAGAGCGATCAGTCAGGACGAACATACCTGAAGCTGGTTCACTCCAGAAGTGGTCACAAGACATGCATTTCTAAGCATAGGCATCGAATAAACTCAATCCGATCGGTCAATCCAGTGACTGATCTTGCTGGCTTGCGAATTTCTCTTGCTGTCATAGGAGAGACCCTCACATCGGTCAGTGAAAAGGGTCGATTGATAGAGGACGTTGTACCAAACGAACGTCTGCAAGCCGAGCTTGAAACGGCTTGTGAGTTCAGAGCAGAGGTACGAGAATTCATTCAGCAGACGAATGATTTCTTGGAAGATCAGCAAGCGTCTTCCAGAGGATCAACAGGAGAAGCGAACGGGCTTCATACAATGTTCTCACCAAGATCAAGTCAGATCAAATTGCCAAAGATAGATCTTCCCTCCTTCAGTGGGAAGTATACAGAGTGGACGAGCTTCATCGATCAGTTCGATTCTGCTGTACATGGAAACCCAAACCTCCAAAACGCTGAGAAGTTGAACTACCTCAAGTCTTCACTTCGAGGAGAAGCACACGATCTGATCAAAAATGTAGCAGTAACAGACGTGAACTACGAGCTCGCAAGGAGGACTCTAATGGACCGATTCGACAACAAGAGGTTCATTGTAAGCATGCATCTCAGTGCTGTATTAAACTACCCGACTTTGAAAACCGAAGATGGAACAAGCCTCAGGAAGCTTTTGGAATGTTTGCGCGAAAACGTGACTGCATTAGAAGTGCAAGGCTGTAATACTCAAGACTGGGATCCAATACTGGTTCATGTGATTGAGCAGAAACTGGATCCGGAAAGCCAAAAGCAATGGCAGCTTCACAAACCAGGAAGAGAGCTCCAGAAACTACACGAGCTTGACGATTTCATTGGTGCGCGATCGAGGGCACTAGAAGCAGTGAAGTCATCAATCACTTTACAGAATCCAACGACTCGAATTGAAGCACATTCTGATGTCCAAAGTAAAATCGACCGGAGGCAATCGTATGGAGCAACAACTGTGGACGAGCAATGTGTGTTTTGTGGAGCACTTCATACTGTAACGGCATGTAACGAGTTCAAGAAGTTGAAAGTACATACACGGAAAGACGAAGTGACTTCCAAACGACTGTGCTTTAATTGTTTGCGCCCAGGGCATATGGTAACGAAATGCCCAAGCACTCACAATTGTAAGCAGTGTGGAAAAAGACACCATTCTCTTCTTCACGCGGACAACCAGCGCAGGGAACCACCGATTACAACTGAGAGAAAGACTGTGAACGATTGTCATACGAGTGGAAACAACCTGTGTACTGTAATTAGTGCTACGGAACCTGACAAAACGGCCCTACTTGGAACTTTCAGGATACCGCTGTTCAACCATCACAGACAGGAAATCATTTGCCGTGCCTTGATAGACAATGGATTGCAGTTAAACTTCGTCAGTGAAAGCTTCGTACGACGGAATGGATTGCCTCGTAAGTCAGTCAACCAAACAGTGAAACCAGTTGGAACTGCCCCCCTATGGAGACGAGAGGACTGGCTCCGATAACTTTGTCATTGCCAGGAGAAGACAGATTACTACGAGCAGACTTCTTCATCATGCCTCAAGTCACATCAGATCTACCAGGAGACGATGTGGAAGTACGCGAACATAACCTACCATCTCGATATGCGCTGGCGGATCCAGATTTCGACAAAAGAGGAAGGGTTGATCATCTATGTGGTGTTGAACTGGCAAACGAGCTCACCACAGGTAAACGGATACGAGAAGGATCTCTCACCTTGGATGAATCAATTTTTGGCTGGATTGTGAGTGGATCAGTACAGTTACTAAGCAAGCGCAATACTGATAGAGTTTTGCAAACAAACTTTGTCAGTCTTGAGTCTGAGCTGGACATTAGTCGCTTTTGGACAGTTGAGGACTTGCCTTTGAACCGATGCCCTCGATCGAAGGATGAAGAACTTGTTGAGGATCATTTCGACAAAACAACCATTACTAAGCCAGATGGTCGATACTCTGTTAGTTTGCCTTTCAAGACAACCGTTGGAACCCTCGGCGAGTGCAAAGCCAATGCACTCAAACGATTCTTCAGTCTGGAATGCAAGCTTAAACAGGATGTGGCTTTGTACACTCAGTACCGAGACTTCATCAAAGAGTTCCGCGACATGGGTCACCTAGAAGTTGCACCACCAGATAATGTCAGAGAAAAGATGCTACTACCTTCCTCACCACTGCGTTCTAAAGGATATTACAACTACAAAGCTACGAGTTCTCTTTGACGCTAGTGCTCTTACTAGAACCCGAATTTCACTGAACGATGCATTGATGGTTGGCCCCAAGCTTCAAGACGATTTGTTTGATCATCTGCTAAGATTCCGATGCTACCCCATTGGAATCACCGGAGACATTGCAAAGATGTATCATCAGGTGGCTCTTAACGCGGAGGATAAGAACTTCCACCGAATTCTATGGAGAGATATACCCGATCGACCAATAGATACCTACAGGATGACCCGAGTGACATATGGGGTTGCTAGCAGTTGCTATCATTCTGTTCGATCACTCAAAAAAGCAGGCAAGCATTCTTGTGTCGAAGAAACAATCAGTCGAGACTTCTACGTCGACGACTGGTTGACTGGCGCAGATGACATACCCTCTGCGAAGAAACTGCTCAGTGACGTTAGATGTCAGCTAGCAACGAAACAGTTTCCTCTACGAAAAATTGTAAGCAGCTCAGCAGAAGTCATGGAATCCTTGCCCAGTGAGTTGCGCGAAAATGAACACGAGTTCTCAGCAAAAGAACACTCTGTGAAAGCATTAGGAATCAAGTGGCTTCCGACAGACGATGTCTTCGTCTTCAAAGTAGCCCACGATCTGAAGGAGAACATGACAAAACGATCTCTACTCTCAGACATCTCTAAGATCTTTGATCCTCTGGGCTGGCTGACTCCGATAACGCTTCCGTTGAAACTCATCATGCAATCCTCTTGGTCGCGGGGAATCAATTGGGACGACAAACTCCCCGATGATATGATGGAGACGTTTCTAAGGTGGAGGACTAAAGTTCACAATGTGGAGAATTTTGACATACCGAGACATGTTGTGGAGGACAGTTTTGAGCTTCATTTGTTTTGTGATGCATCAGAAACCGCATACGCCAGTTGTATCTACGTCAGGAAGACGAAGACGAAATTAACCAATCCTTTTGTGGCTAAATCAAGAGTGGCACCTTTGAAACCTTTGATGATCCCCAAATTTGAATTGTGTGCAGCTGTGCTAGGATGCAAGTTGCTGGACCATACAAGGAAAGCACTTCAAAAGATAGGTCGGAATCCGAAGGAAGTTTTCGGATGGACAGATGCCACGATTGGACTTTGTTGGATTAACGAGACCCCCAACATCTGGAAGACTTTTGTTCACAACCGAGTGCATGAAGTACAGGAGGTTTTGAAACCAGTCAACTGGCGCCATGTACGAAGTAAGGAAAACCCAGCTGATGCTGCAACTCGTGGACTCGATGCAATTACGCTGAACAACTCTTCACTGTGGTGGCATGGACCGAGCTGGCTCTCTGAACTTCGGATTCCAGACCAACCAAAGCTAACAAAAGTTGGTTCTGAAAAATGCAGTTATCAATAGCTGCCAATTGGTCAAACCTTCTTTGGACGCACTATTAGATCTGGAAAAATTCAGCAGTCTACAGAAGTGCATTCGTGTACTGTGCTGTGTTGTCTCTTTTGCACATCGAAACCAGAAGCACCCAGAAGATGGCAGTTACGTTCATCCAACTTCTTTGACGAATAGATGCAACGCCCTTCTGAGGCTAATACGAAACGAACAAACTAAGTTCTTCAGTGATGAACTAAGGGCAATGAATGCTGGCGAATGAGTTGCGAAGAAAAGCCATCTTCTGCGACTATACCCCTTCGTTGATGACGGACTCATCAAGGTGGGCGGGAGACTGACTCAGAACCAAACTCTCGCAGAGGGTCAGCGCGACCAAATCGTGATACCCAAGAAAAGTCGACTGGCCAAACTCATCCTGCAGGACATCAATCTGAAGTTTTTTCATGCTCCCGCAAATACGATCCTTGCTGAACTTCGACGACATTTCTGGATTGTGGACGCGCAAGCAGCAATTCGTCACCTCATACGAAACTGCGTGAAGTGCCAACGATTCAACGGACGATCAAATCACCCTTGATGGGAGACCTACCCAAAGAACGAATAACGCCTTCGCCTCATTCACTCACACTGGCATGGACTTTGCTGGTCCTTTTGTGACACTGAATGGAAAACAGCTGTCAAAGTCATGTTTGGCTTTGTTTATTTGCTTCACAACAAAGGCCATACATTTGGAGCTAACATCGGGTTTGTCCTCCCAGTCTTGTACTGCTGCCTTGAGACGATATTGTGCTAGACGTGGTGCTCCAGCAAGGATGTACTCAGACAATGGACTGAACTTTGTTGGAACTAAAAATGAACTAAGGCAACTGCAAATGAACCTACCCAAGAAGTTCGGAACACAATCAATGCCAAGTGCCGCAGATGAGATTGGAATCACTTGAAGAATGATTCCACCAGGAGCTCCTCATTATGGTGGACTTTGGGAATCGGGCGTGAAGCTTGCGAAAGCACATCTGCGAAGAGTCATGGGGAACAATGTTTTGACGTACGAGGAACTTTCTACTCTACTATGCGACATTGAAGCAATCCTCATTTCGACCGACGTTCTGGACCTACGAACCCTAACACCAGCTATGATGGTGACAGGGAAAGAAATGCAGTACCTGCCAATACCAGTGCCCCCACTGATGACAAGTACACACCAGCCCTTTGAAACCCATCCAGCCAAACGGTGGGCACATATGCAGAAACTCATTGGAGTTTTTTGGAAGAGATGGAGCAAAGAGTACTTGTCTTCTCTGCAGCCACGGAAGAAGTGGACTTCAAAACAACGAAATTTCGAAGTGGGTGATGTTGTGCTTCTGATGGACGAAAACCAACCCACCTTACAATGGCCATTACCTCGGGTTGCGGAAGTCTACCAGTGGGCGGCAATGTTGCTTGCAACATGCAACTTAGTGGAAAGAAAAATGGAATGGAAGTTAAAAACCTCCAAAAAACTGAAGAAGCAGCATTAAGAAGCAGCAGTTGGGTGAGCCTTGTGACTCTGGTTTAGACAGATAGAGACCAGATCAAGGCTCATTGCACAACCTCAACGAGTAAAAAAAATGCGAATATTGCGATACAATGTTTTAGAGTTCTTGTATTGTAATGCTAGCATTGAATACTCGCTGCAGGCACACGCCAAAAACCCATTGAAGTTATATTGACATTTGCAAGACTTTTCTTCTTAAATAAAAGATGTTCAACTTCATTGTCTTGGTATACACAATGAAGCAGGTATAAGCTGTTCCCCTCCTTCTGATATACAGGCATATCTTCGTTGAATCAAATAAAGAAAAATCTCAGCTACGTCAAGCTGAGTTGGTGGTCCGCTATTGAAAAGGTGTAGGCTTCGGCGAGAAATCGCCCCGATTATTCTCAAGTTGCTAACTAATTTAGTTACCTCTAATTCTCGAGTGAGCTGGTATGTAAATGCTTAATCTAATTTCTTGAGTGTTTTTTTATAATTGTTATAATGAGATAAGGCGAGTTTTAGGTTGATCCATCTGAACTAGATCAAAGTTCCACTGTCTAATAAAAATCAACTGTACAGATTGTTCCGACCCTGTTTTAGCGGCGTTCGTGTATTTTGGGTATTTTGAGACCTAAGTATGGGGTCGTTCTTTTTTTCTAGATTGGGGGGTATTTTGGTAGTGGCCTTTGAGTTGTAATGGGTTTTAGTCTCATGTCGCAAGTAAAACGAATTGGCTCCGACCGTTTTGAGGTAGAAAAACACAAGAGATAGTGTCCCTGACTCTTAAGCCAAGGGTTATAAGGCCTATTTTTCTTAAGCCTCATATGTGACTGAAGTAGGCGACTGTTACATAGTGTTTTTCTGGCGCTCCTGGGTGTTTTTACGACATCATGACTACGGAGTCGAACCCACTTGACACAGCCGCGGGCTACATGCCCATTCAAGATTACTGGTGGTACGGTTCAGCGGGAATGTGTAAGCCTTCCGGTTGTAACGTGATAGCTTTTTAAGAAAACTCTAGAAAACTTCCTAGTACGCTCTCCGAACGAAGCTTAGCTAACCGTGTAAGGGTGGTAACTAGGGGGACAAAAAAAGAGCAAAAGACAAAAAGCGAAGCAAAAAACCAATATAGAAAATACAAAATTAACATAAACCAAGTAACGAAAAAGGACAGTGACTTTGACACCAGATTAGTTGGATCAAACCTTTATAATAATTAAATAGTGTACCTATACTGTTTTATAAGACCGATCGTTTCGATCAATCCAGCAATCTAATCCAGCAACCTCAATAATGTGTCCGAGTGTGGCGCGTTTTTAAGGGTTTTCAGATAGCTTGCAACTAGGAGGTCAGCTGGACAACTAGGAGACTTGACTGGAAGAGGTGACCAGCCCAGTTGGAAAGTGGTTCACAAGGATTGAGCTGAACCACTAGGAGACTTGACTGGAAGAGGTGACCAGCCGAGTTGGAAAGTGGTCCACAAGGATTTAGCTGAACCACTAGGAGACTTGACTGGAAAATTTGACCAGCCAAGTGGAAAAGTGGTGACGTTGACAAGTGCAGTGGACGTCAAGGAGACAACCAGCACGGAATCAGAACAACAAGAGGAGGACGCGCAGGGGTGTTCTCAAGTTGGTCAAAAAGTTATCATTAAAATCCACATTACATTATAGGAGATACGTGTAAAATTGGATAAGCGGAATCCCCCTGTTTTGAGGAACGTTTTTACTCAAGCAGAACCTGGAAACAGGTTCTACGGTTTTCTCTCAGGAGTTTTAGCACCCGGCGCTTAAGGTAATTTTCGTCTTAAGAGGGGCTAAAAAGTGTGAGGTTAGAAGGGGGGCTGGTTAGGTTGGAGGTTGGCGGTTGTAAATTGTAAAAAGGGAGGACACATTAGAGTAATAATTGATCGACATCGTCAATTTAGTTATATCAGAATCATACACGTGTCAATTATAAGAAGCGAATATCAAATTTTAAGATCGAGTTAAGGTAGGCACCCTGGTCGGATCGGGTGGGGGAACGGAAAAAGACAGTTTTTGTGATACCCCATAAGATCGCTAGCAGGGGGGTGGAAAACGCGTGGCAATCAGGTACCAGACGTTTTATTTTTCGAATAAAGGTTGACATCTGTCACCTTTAAGTTTTAGGTGTGTTCATCTCCCTGTTTTTATAATGTTTCCTTTTTAGTTTTTTTTACGTTTTGGTAAATTTTTTTTTCAATTGGTTTTTGAACGAACAAGACCACAAGTGATCACAAGACACCTGCGAACAAGTTGGATTTCAACACGTATCAAAGTATTAAGAAGGAGATAAAGACAGGGGGGAAAGTAAATCAAAATTTTTGGCCAGTAAGACTGGGTTTTAGGGTAATTTTTTTTAACAAGAGCTCAAGGGGAGGTACCAGGTACAGTGATTCAAGAGTCCCGACAACGAAGAAGAAGAAATCCTTGCCCAGACACTTGGTTGCAGAGTCTTAGTACAGTACCGAAGAGGTCTTTGGACAGTGCTGTCTTGGGTTTGTGCGGCCTTGGGACAGTACAGTCTTGGGACAGTGCGGTCTTGGGACAGTACAGGCTTGGGACAGTGGTCTTGGGACAGTGGTCTTGTGACAGTGGTCTTGGGACAGTACGGTCTTGGGACAGTGGTCTTGGAACAGTGGTCTTGGGACAGTGGTCTTGGGACAGTACAGTCTTGGGACAGTGGTCTTGGGACAGTGGTCTTGGGACAGTGGTCATGGGACAGTGGTCTTGGGACAGTACAGTCTTGGGACGGTGGTCTTGGGACAGTGCAGTCTTGGGACAGTGGTCTTGGGACAGTACAGTCTTGGGACAGTGGTCTTGGGACAGTGGACTTGGGACAGTACAGTCTGGGGACGGTGGTCTTGGGACAGTTTAGTCTTGCGACAGTGCAGTCTTGGGACAGTAGTGTTGGACTGTACAGTCTTGGGAGAGTAGTCTTGGGACGGTGCAGTCTTGGGACAGCAGTCTTGGGACAGTAGCAGGAATTACTGGGACAGCGCCGAGTAGTCTTGGTACAGTACCGAAGAGGTCTTTGGACAGTGCTGTCTTGGGTTTGTGCGGCCTTGGGATAGTACAGTCTTGGGACAGTGCGGTATTGGGAAAATACAGGCTTGGGACAGTGGTCTTGGGACAGTGGTCTTGTGACAGTGGTCATGGGACAGTACGGTCTTGGGACAGTGGTCTTGGGACAGTGGTCTTGGGACAGTACAGTCTTGGCACAGTGGTCTTGGGACAGTGGTCTTGGGACAGTACAGTCTTGGGACGGTGGACTTGTGACAGTGCAGTCTTGGGACAGTGGTCTTGGGACAGTACAGTCTTGGAACAGTGGTCCTGGGACAGTGGACTTGGGACAGTACAGTCTTGGGACGGTGATCTTGGGACAGTTTAGTCTTGGGACAGTGCAGTCTTGGGACAGTAGTGTTGGGACTGTATAGTCTTGGGACAGTAGTCTTGGGACGGTACAGTCTTGGGAC